ACTTAGCACGCCTGTATTTTCTCCTTGCAATTTAGTGATAAAAAACACAGTGAATATACCTTTTCACTTTTTGAAGTACACATAACACTCGGATTTAAATCCGAGGTTTTCGCATTTATTTCATTTTGTGTTTGGCAGAAACTATTAACACAAGTCAATAGGGATTTGTTATTACAATTTTTGTAGAGCTTTTCACGGCGCATCTTTTAAAAAAAGTTCAAGATTTTATCATCTACCTAAGCCGAAATATAGATATTTTGGCAGACCCGGAAAACAGGAAAATTTAAAAAATAGTACATCATAGTGTTGTTACAGATTCGCCTCTATAGTACAACCTACAGACCTCAAACTTTGTAGTTATGGGGCACTACATATGTGCAATAATATGCCAAAGTTTCAAAGAGTTTGGGTTTGTTGAATGCGAGAATGATGAATGTTGAAATCGTTTCAGAACTTCCGGAACACCCTTTATGCAGGACTGAAATGTGACTGGATACTCCTCGACCATTGCTCAACTTCGACATCTATGAATTTATTGTCTATTGTCTTTTAACAACATATCTTATCGTTGAATTCGTCGACTTTATTGACATCTCCTTATTTTTTATGCTCATATCAAACATATACAATAGGAAATCGTTGGATATGATGAATTTTTCCGTGAATTCCTGAAGCAGGATTCCTAAATCAGCTACGGTTTAGTTCCCAACAGTATGGACATCTAGAAGAGACTCAGATACGAACATTTGTTTCCGACGAAATAGCCGTCTAGGTCCCTATTTTTTAATCAAGATGACAAGGTAGGGTGTGGTTGTGAATATCGAGTGTGAATAAAGAAAAGACCTGTACCACGTGATCTATATGAGCGATCTTCGAAATGACTTAATTTTTATTAATTCAAACAAAAAAGAGACAAAAAAAATCATTGTGCCATTAAAAGTCACAAATCTACTATGGGTCTTCAGAAAGCAGAATAGCCGAACTGTTCTCTAACGAACGACCATCGTGCTATGTGTATGATCGTACGACACAGTAAGTTTCATTCCAGTCGTAGGACAGGTAGCAGTAACATAAGTATGAATTGAAAATAGATTAAATGACATCGAATAGCAAATCAAAGTAACCTTTCTTCGCCCCTCACCGTCCTTCGAAAATTATTATGCATAAAATTAAGGATGTGTATAGATGATGTGAGGATGCGGGTGGGCGTGACTTTGAATTAAGACAATGCATTAATGCCAGCCTACAGGTACTGCACGATAGTCGCACCTAAACAACCACTTCCCTGCCACACTCCGTACCTACACATCCACACTCTCCATAGAAGATAATGCTTAATCAAAATATGTTTCTAGGTAGTGTCTCGATCTGTAACTCCATATAAAACAATATCTGTCTATGAAAGCCTGTGAAAATTCAAGAAAAGCAGCAAAATAAATCTTTTTCGCGTACCTGATTTAGAGCCTGCTACCTATACTCCAATCATTACTTCTATAGGAAAAGCTCTTTAAAGGTCATTTTCTATTCATACGGCTATGTAACTCTGAAAAATGCCATGCAATTCAGATACTTCATTGAGAAACGTCGCTACACACCTTTTCAGTGATTGCCAAGGGGGAACAAACTGATTTCTGCGCCCAGAAATCATTGGAAATCACCGAAAATCACTTTAAAAGCTTAAGTATAGAAATACTGAGCAGAAGTGGTCAAAAAATGTTGCAAACCATCAAGAGATATTAGAAAACGTGAGAAATCACCAGAAATCAATTTTAATCATAGAAACCTTCTACTAGTAAAGTTAAAAATAGAACCCTGATTTCTAGTGATTTCTTTGATTTTTTTAATTCTAAATGTTTATCAATATTTCATGTGGTTTTGCTCTTGACTTTTGATGATTTCTAGTGATTTCCCTTCATTTTTAAGCATTTTCTATAATTTCTATCGATTCGCCATAAATATAGAAAAACTGATTTCTAGTCATAGAAATCACTAGAAATCATCAGAAATCACTTGAAATCACGAAATCAGTTTGTTCCCCCTTGCTGAGCTAAGAAGTTCGAAAAAACGACCAAATGTTTTAGTTTCTAACTTAAAACTCGAGAAAAATCCGTTTTACGATAATCACCATAGAAATCGATTAAAGGACAAATAATCTAATTTGAATCAAATGATATAAGTTTCATATTAATTGGTTTTTAGCCACAATAAACTCGGTTAGAATTAGATTTTTTTTCTTACGTGGAAAATCTTGCAAAAAAAAAACAAAAAAAGTTCGGTCTGGGTGGCCCGTTTCGAGATATGCTATCTACCGAGAATAGATAAGAAAATTGAAAAAAGATTTTTAAGTTTAATCAATGACAAGTCGATATTTGTTAAATTTCATTTTATTATTTTTTAAAATGAAACATTATTTAAAAGAGATCTTGTTTGATTGTAATAATTAATGTTGCAATTTATTACGAAATGTTTTGTTATCATTTGTTAAAGAACAATTTCTAAAAGATAAAGAAAGGATTCAACTATTGTTTGTTTGTTTGTTTTTGAGCTGCAGAACAGTTAAAGCAACAATGAAAATATTGATATTGGCGGAAATATCTAAATGTACATTAAAGACTTATCTGTCAATGAAAAAATGATCTTATTTAAGGATATTCAACAAATCTATTGTACGATAACAGTAAGTAGTTGATTTTCTAAACTTTTATATTATAGTTTATGATGTTTAAAAAAGAAATAATCAAATAATTACCAATCAATAATGAGTTTTCACGATATCTCTGATATCTTAAATCTTTAGCACGAAAATAATAATCTTCTCGAACTATTATTATCTATCTCGTATGAAAGGTTCTACAAATATACTTAATGTTGTATAGGGTGATTTTGATACGGCTACTTTATCAGATTATTCGATTAAAATAAACACAAATTCTTCAAACAATATCATTAAATATTGTTCGAAGAATAAATATTGACATCAAATTGTGTCTACTGTTACACTAATTGTTAGACGACAAATATGTCCTATTAACTAAACTTATCCAATATTTATCTTTCTCACATGAAAACATTGATTTAAGAGCTGTTAGTAGTAGTGTTGATAAAGTTTATATGGTAAATACGGCTGATTTATTCTAGGTATTCTTATTTCTGTTTTCAAGATTCCTACCATATATAGTTTGTTTTTTAAACGTCGCATAATCATATTTCCATTATGCAAAAGATAATAAATTAAAAACACTGATGTCAAATAAGAAGAATTCAATGAAAAAAAATCGAATTATTAAACAAACAAAACAATTTATAAGAAGATTTTTCTTAATCAATTAAATTTTGTGCATTGATGAATATAACACGTCACAATGATTGGGATATTGTCATATAATAATGAATCATGAAATATCACGATTTTCAGTCACAATCGGGAAAATGAGGACATTTTTTTAAAAAAATCAGGAAAACAGTATCGCTGAGAGGTCTGTTATGGATTATATTAAAATAAAATATCTTTGTTATACTTCAATTCGATAATAAAAAAAATTAAAAATTAAAAATTAAAAAAAAAAAGGCAAGGAGAATCGTTTTTGCCTATAGGTGTAAATGTTAAGAAAAAATAAAATGAGATATGAATATAATGAGAAATAAAATAAAATAATAGATATGATTAGTTTTTTGAGAAGAAGAAGTCAAATCTAAACTCTTTTTATTTTTCATTTGAATTTTTTCTATTGTTAAATTATCTAATGGTTTTAATTGTTTATTATCATAAATTTCCATCCATCCATAAACTTCATATTCATCTTGAATATAATAAAGACCATTTTTAAATACAACTGGAATTTGTCGAGAATAATTTTTTGACCAATAATTAAAATAAAAATTTTGTTCAGCAATTCTTATTGCATTTTTTAAAACATCGACAATAATCGCAACATGTCCATAAGGCATATCTTTTTGTATTGGATAAATTAAATATGATTCATTTATTGGAAGATTTGGAGAACCATTCGAATGTTTTTTTAAGGAAAATTTTTCTTTATCAATAATTCTTTCAATATATTTTAATTGATTCCACATATCATCAGCACTATTAACACTTTCAAATATTGAACTTTTACGTAATAAAGTCCATCGACGTGCATATTCAACACATTGCCATTTCATTCCCATATATATTTCATATAAATAATTATCTTCATTTGAAATATATTTATCATTACCATTTGAATAAGCAGCTACATTTAATGAAGCTACACCAACTATAACATTATATGGGGCAATTTCTTTTTCACTTAATGATCGTCTTTCTATTTGAGAAAACAAAACAAAAAAAAGAATTTTAATATTATGAAATTTATAAAAATTTCTAATAAATAGAAAAATAAAATTTTAAAATTATAATCAATTGACCTCTAATTAACTGTAAATATGATAATTCGATTGAACTTTGTTCTGATTTCGATGATTTGACTAAGTTATAACATTGATAAATAATCATTAGGAAAAAAACTGTAAAGACGAGTTTCATCGTTAAACGTTTTCGAACAATTACAAAACGGCTTTACACTAACAAGAATAACATAAGATGATGATAAATTATAATAAACAAATCTGTTGGTTTTCTCTGTTATACGAATAGAAATGAAGATAAGAGAATAAGGCTGATAGAAAGCGCTACTTTCACCTTCATTGTTAGATCAGAGAGATTTATTTCAAGTTTTATATTAAATATATTATTTATTTATATCTACTTATTGCAATTAATTAAAGCAAAAGAAAAGAAAACAAAAGAGAAGTCAATTAATTAATATTCAACAAACTTTGTTATTACTCAGATTTTTTAAAATCATATACAGTCTGTCATTCTATCAGTTACTTTGATTTATTCCTATAAAAATTCATAAATAATATAAATAACTTCTATCACAAAATTCTTCATACAAAATGTTTGTTCATATTTTATTCCCTTAGAAGTAAATTGAGAAAATGAGAAATAGTCAATTAAAATAAAAAGTTTCATGCTCTTTCTATATTTATCTTTAGACTTTTATTCTGACTAATAACTATTTAACTATAAGCAAATACCTCGACTCAATAAAAAATGTCATTTGCACCACGCAAATAAACTTTTCTCCTCTCATTTGTAATTTCTCTAAATAGTATTTTCGGATAGTTTTTGTTTCTTATTGTTGTAGAAAATTTAATATTCTACAAAATCATGGGTTGAAATATGCTAAAACTTAAAAGAATAAAAAGCTAGAAACATTTTAATCGAAATTCTTTTCTTAACACGATATTATATTTTTCAAAATAATCTTTTTCTATACGGTTTTCGATATTTAAAATGCAAAAGATTTTGATGATTTGCAATTATATGTTTAAAGTAAAACAAATTTAACATTTTCTAGAGCACATAAAATATTCTGTAGAAATATCATTTTTGGTCTCCATCAAAGATTTTTTCTTAACGATTTAATTTCAATTTAGACGAAATATTGTCAATAAACATTTAGAGAGAATATCAAATTCTCATTCTAACTGATTATATCTCATTTTCTCAAATTACGTCTAACTGGCTCAAAAATAAACAAACATTTTTTATGAAGAACTTTCTTACAATGAAACATTAACACATATATACGCGGTATAGGACAGTAGTGTCAAACTTGAAAGTTGAATTCAACTATTCAACTATTACTTCAACTATTCAACTATTCAACTATTACTTCAACTATTCAACTATTCAACTATTACTTCAACTATTCAACTATTCAACTATTACTTCAACTATTCAACTATTCAACTATTCAAGTATTCAACTATTCAACTATTCAACTATTCAACTATTCAACTATTCAAGTATTCAAGTATTCAACTATTCAACTATTCAACTATTCAACTATTCAAGTATTCAACTATTCAACTATTCAAGTATTCAACTATTCAAGTATTCAAGTTCA